AATACTGTAATGTGTGTGGGTATAATGTATGGTTGACTACTGGTTATATATATAAAGTTTTAAATATTTTGTTTCATATAAGTCAGCACAGCTCATTGGACAACTATATTCATGTATTTGCTTCCGCTAGTCCCTTAATCTTGTTAATTTGTTCAAAGGCCTTCGGCAATCCAAGGATTACTGGCCGGTTACGATACTAAACCTATAGGGACGGGTTTGGGTCGTGACAGCAGCTTTGTGGTAGTGTAAATAAGTCACATAAAGTTTTCTTAGTAAATGTGACGTGAATAGAGTTTTGGAACTCTATAAGATAGAGAATTATAAGCATAGCACTTTTATGTAGCCTAGTTGAGAATGGAAAGAAATTTCCAATATCCTAGGGACAGTGGGAGCGATGTGCCTACTAATGGATTACTCCATTAGAGAAGAATACTCTACATTCTTAGTTGCGTGGTAGCGAATGTGAAAATTTTCCACGTCATCACTGGGTGATTGAGAATGAAACATTCATGATTGCTCCGCAAGATGATAAAGAGCCTAGGATAATGCCAAAGGCTCTAGTCCCCTGTTTTTAGAAAGTGGATCATTGTTGCGCAGTTTAAGACAAAGTCTTTAAGGATTAACCATTTCTATAATTTGGTTGACTTTCCATTATGACGCGAAACTGTTCTAAAGTTAAGCGTAATTTGGATAGTCATTGTTGAGGCATAAGGCTCGTTAGATACCGAAAAGTCGCACCATTGAGGAAGTTGTAGACCAAGAGAAGACTTTCTCCTAGGGAGTGAGGTTATTTCGACTTAGGCTATGATTGACATAAGTTCAGAACATTGATTTGTGGACATTGTGACCCAACTTCTCGTTGGAGAATTATATAAGTAGATCCATAGAGATTTACCTTCTGCTTTTATGGTGAAAAGTTAGGAGCACAAAAAGGTTGCTAGTCCCAATAAATCTTTTACAGCCTAAAACAGTTATCCAAATAGTGGTTCTTAGATTTTGTCAAGCCATGATAGGCCAACGATAATCGATAAAGACCACTGAGGCATGATCAATGGTCCAAAAGAAGTTTTTCCTTACTTAGTCATTATGAGCCAGGAATTTATAAGGTTGTCGCCACCTAGGGTGGGCAATCCTTTATTTTAGATATGATAGACATAGGTGATGTAATTTATATGCTCGGATGTACGATCTTTAGAGATTGTTTTGGGAGAATTCCCAGTTTGTCTTTGATGACTTACATAAGGAATATCCTAGAATGATTCTAGATATAAAATTACAAACCCATTGACTTACCTATCGGTAAAAGTCAAAGCCTTAGCTATTGAGTGAATCCTTAGATTGTTTTTGGGAGAAACAGATGGCCTATATTCCTTGTTTTTTTTGTTATGGGAGCCTGAAGTACGCTATGTGGGCATGTTCGGCATGATAAGTGTTATCTTTGGTAAATTGTCAACTGAGTTGTTTAGACATTGACCTTGCTCATTAGACTGTGGATAGAATGCTTTACTAGTAATATATAAATTTGCCCCTTGTAAGATTCAATGCGCTAGTTGGGCGCATTTCGAATGGAAGCAGATTGGTCACCAAAATATCTTTAGAGAGGTAATTGCGCAAGAGGTAGTGATCTTGAACCACTTTGTGTGAGGCGTAAATGGTGGATTCCATTGTATATGCTTATCGCAAGAGGTGCTGATAAGGCTTATACTTGGAATCTAGAATTGCGCAAACTGTGGTCGTATTTTTTAAAATCGATCACTTATTTGTTATGAGATGATGAGATGTTGACACTATTATGATTTGTGTCATACTGATTAGCAGATAATGATGTCAGCAGGCAAGATTGGCTCACTCACACGAGCAATCGCCCTCGGGGCTTGGAAGCGAGCAAGGATGAGACTAGTGGTTTATTTTTTATTTAGAGCCAAGAGAGGCTTAAATTATCCACTATGTATGTTGCCTTGGTTATAACCAAGATAAGGTCGTGTTAAGGACCAAACATGGATGTTAGTATCCACTTTCTATGTTGTGCCTGTTATGATTAGCCAGATGCGAGATCTCATTTGGCGCCTGGAAGGCGAGCAAATAGAGAATTCAGGTTAGGTGCTAGAAAGCGATTAGACTAAGATCTGTACGGTGTATCGAGTGTGACGTCACACTTTTGGAAGAGTTACTCCACCGTAACATGTATTCATACTATATGTGCTTGTCGACCCGTTAGCGAGGTAAAAGAATGGATCCCTGTTTCTTCACCGTGTGAATTCTAAAAGTCATTTTTTCTTAAATGACTCCACTTGTGCCTTTTGTGACCTTTGACTATGTCATAAGATGTGGAGTTGATGTTCAACTACTTTGGTATGTTGCCTGCGGTCATATATGATTCGGCTTTAAGGGACATTACTGGAAAAGTGGTCAATTTCAAATTAAATGATATGAGGGTGAAGAGAAGATCATCTAGTTCTACATTTCTGCTCTATATTCACTGTCGATAACTCACATCGCTCTCTATGGGATGTTGATTGGGTGTGAATATAATGCGAGACCTAGGAGAGTCAAACATGCTCTTTAAGGGATTAGAGATGTTTTTTGGACCGATGTAGCTAGATGGGTCCATGAGACACTATTTCTGTTCATTTTGGGTTGATGTCTCTATGTTGACTCATATTAAGCTTCTAGTATAAAGCTCCCACATGCAGGTGTTCTCAACGGTCGCACGGTGCATTGGCTAGTATGAGATTATTCATTTTTTGGGGAGATTGAGATAGAGATGTGGCAGTGTCATGCCAACTAATGTGCGAGTGAAAGATGTTAGAAATTGGGTGCCCATGCGGCATGACCCTTTGAACTTTTTGAACCTTATCCATGTAAGTTTGAATTTGAATTCAAAACTTATTTGGTTAACCACTCATGATATCTATATCTATCATATCAACTGATATAGATAAATGATATATTTATCTTACATATCTGATATGATATATGGGATATGGTATAATGAAAACAACGTATGTTTTTCCCATACTTACTCCCTTCCATTAAAACAATGATCAAGCTTTTTGTACTGTGACTTGTGTGGGTGATACTCATATTGTGGTATCACTCCACTGCTGGGTTTGTTGTTCGCATTCTTAAAGCATGTGATTTATCCACGAGATTCTTCGCTTTAGGTTCTATTAACTAAGGTATGATCTGAATGTTTTACCCGCTGCGTTATACTTTGATTTATAGCTTATATGATGATTGAACTACAAAGTTTTGGGGAGAAACATATTCCTTAGCGTTAAATGAAATCATTTGTCTCCAAAATCTCTCATGTCCTATTGTGCTTTTACCTGCATAATCATTTGAGATTCTTGTATTTTGAAATTTTCACTACATCATAGAAGTGCATTGGTGACAAAACAGCAATACTAGGAACCTATAATATTTACCGAAAAAAAATTTAAAAAAAAATTAGAAGTCAAGAAAAAAAATCTTCATTGCAAAACCGATAAAAGATCAAATCGATTTAGTACAACAATATCACAATATCTCAAAAAGAGATAAACAACTTCCATAGAAAGAATTATCCGAGCTTTCATAAAGGAAGAGAAAAAGGCCTTCACAACGGAGGGAAACAAACATCTACATAGGAAGGATTATTACATCAGCAAACTAAAAAATTAAGAAAACCAAACAAAAATAACCAGATCTAAGTCGTCGCCGATCTTATCTAGAACTCCATTGTTTCGCAGCCTTTAACTTGAAATCTGAATACTCTACCTCCGTTGATCAAAATAGAACATTGAGATTGAAATGATCGCCTAGCATAAAACAAATGTGTTATCAATGTTGGCTTTTGAATTATGAAAAGATCTGAAGTAAATCTTAAAGTTTTGGGTTCAAGAATGGAAAAGGTAAGATGGTGATAGTCGGACTGGTGAAACAAATGTTATATCTGAATTGAGAGGAGGATTGAATGGAGAGAGAGGGACAGAAGAGGGAGATTGCAGAGGTGGAGGAACCACCGCCATCTCTCTCTCCCTCTCCGTCTCCCTCTCCCTTTGCAAAAAATCTAAAGAGAAAAGTAATAGGAATTTATGTTTTTTTTTTTTTGAACAAAGAGGAATTTATGGTTTAGGGATGGTAAAAATTAAGACAAGATAACCCTTCTTTTATACCATCCAACCTAATTAAATCTACACCATACGTTGTAAATGTCTGAACTATTTTTTTTTAGTACCATAGCTTTTCTGGCCACAAAATAGTGGGATTTGAGGATGAAAACTCTATCCTAAAAACATGCTTTGTTCGTTTTTTGTGGTATGCTACCCGATCATTTTCTAACTCTTTACCCATGCTTGCTGGCTTTGTTCTCCACGTGCTCAACTTCAAAAGTGAACTGACATTCTCTGGCACTGCACCACCAAAAAAATTATAAGAACGCATATTTTGTGAGATTGCATCAATTAAGCAATGTTTTATGATACTTTGCAATATAAATTTCAATGTATAGGCAGCACTAATGTTCTGTTTGTTTCAGCATAACCTAATTTTTTAAAAATAATTTTTACATTTGATGACAGAAAACAAGTCAACAAAAATAATTTTCCTTCAGGAAAAACAAGTTAGGTGATAGAAAATACATATTTTACTTTAAAATATGAGAATCATTACACATTAATTTTGAAGTCACAATCAAATATAAAAAAAATAATATTGAGAGCATTTGACAGAATGTTTTTCTTAGAAAAATAATTTTTCACTCAAACAAACAGAGCACGAAGAAGGAACTCATGTCCTTGAGCATTGCATGCGAAAGGTGGATCAATTTCAATGCTAATCATCTGTTGCACCCAACTCGACTGAGATATAAATAAATAAATAAGATTATACCCAGTACACAAAGTTCAAGATCATAGTAGGTCTTGTAGAGGTTAGCTGAAACTAGGAGTCCCCTGCAAACCAGTCGACACGGCATAGTAGTCGATAACAACATGCAGTAGCAGCAATCAAAGTCAGTATTATGCAGTAGCAGCAATCAAAGTCAGTATATAGACCCAATGAAGCCAAATCAAATACAGGCACACCAGAATGTCAAATAACAGATTTACAGAGATAATACAGCATTTACGTTTTCTATATTTTCTACCTACTAACTGCCATTTCTCGTAAGTCTTCCAATAAAAGCCCCTAGTGAAACATAGTAAACAACAACAACAACAACAACAACAAAACAAAAAAGAGCACGCAAACTAACTATGGAACAAACGGAACAAATTGCTCGCTGTGGTATCCAGGTTTCTCTGTATCTGCTCTTTAGCGGTCGAAGTCCATCGAAGGCTGCTCTCTCTCTCTAACTCTCTGGTGGAGTGTTATCATAGTGCAGCTCTCATTGCTCCTCTTGCAGCCTCGCGCTTCATCTCTGCAGCTTTCCCGCTGCCTCGGAAATACATGTACACTTGCTGCATAATGGGCGAGAACACAAACAATATAAGGTATTGTTCACAGCTTAGGCCAAGTTTGACAAGTTGCCAAAAAGTCAAAAAATTACTCAAAAAGTTACTCAAAATGTTAAAAAGTTTATCACTATTCACCAAAAGTCAAAAATTACGGCTGCACAATTCCCAATCCTAATTTTTTCCTATACACTAATTTATACAATTTTTTAATACACATTTTTCCATAAAAAATCAAAAAGTTAACCCAAACATTCAAATATTTTTCCTCAATTTTTTAGTCTAAAAGGACAAAAAGTACACTTATTTAGAACACCCCAAACAACCCTTGCTATTTTTTTGTTTCCAGAAAACATTAAACATGTTTATATTCTTTTTGGTAAAAATAAAAACAAAAATAAATAAAAAAATAAGTTGCCGTGGGTGGTGGCCAGAGGGGGCAAGAAAAGAAAAAATGTATGAAATTTTTTTTTTCTAAAGTACAACCAACTTTTTTTTAGCTATAACAAGCCATTAAATTTTGTAAATTGTCTACAAATTTTTTAAAACAAAATAGACACAGAACAAACCAAGGGAAACAAAGTGATGCATGACCACAGTACACTTCAGAATTGTTTTGTGACTAGGCAAGATGAAATGAAGAGTTTTGAAGAATCAGACCTGAATAACCCAGATGCTGAGCACTGTTTCCATGCAGAAAAACCCAAATCCAATGAAGTAGAATATCTGGGCAAACGAAAATCAATTTAAACAATGAGATTAAAGAGAAATAATTCTGCCAAGGGGGGGGGGGGTTGGGGTTGGGAATAGATAAATGGTGGTGCAGGAATCAAGCTTACCCCGACTATAACATGTGCACCGATGACATCTATTGCAGGCAGGATACCACTGTTCCAAAGGACCACAAAATTGAAATCATTAGCGTGTATTCACTAAATAATCAGTTAAATAAGAGACCAGAGCCTTAAAAGCAATCTAAATTTTAACAGTAAACACTGAATTCAAATCCTGGCTGCAACACAGGCGGATCGAAATCTCACAATGTATAGGACTTTGAATTCAATTAGCAAACACCACTTACACGTAAACAAGGTTTTAAAAAGCGGACGTAACGCCGTTACGTAACGGTTTTGGTGGTTACCGCCACCCGTTACGGCCGCTTTTGTAGTGTGATTGAGATTCACAGGTGTGTAGGCTGTAGCGGCTGCCGTAGCGGTCATAATGGTGTCGTAACAGCCGTAACGGCCTGTTACGCACCGTTACGTAACGGTTCCAAACTGTTTCTTTCGAAAAAACACACAAAAAAAAGCTGAAAGTGGGAGAAGAAGGATAGAGAGAAGATGGAAGATGGAAGATAAAGAGAGAAAATGGAGGAGCAAGAGATAGAGAGAGAGAGAGAGACAGAGAAGAGGGAAGATGAAAAACATGTTATTGATTTGTTGAAACTATAAGACCTATGTTATTTTATTCAGCTGCTATCACTAAATCATTTTGTTTGTGTGTGTCTATCTATATATTGTTTGAAAATAATAATAATAATAATAATAATAAGTGTGGTCATTATCTATTTGGCTTGGTTAAAATATGTATATATATATAATAGTTAGTGATTGATTTTTTTATAAAATATAAAGTCATTAATTATTAAAATAAAATGTAAAAAACTCAGTTTATAGTGATTTAAAAATATGAAATATATTAGATCATACTTAAAAATTTACAAAAATTGATCAATATTTATTTTTTACCCAATAAATATGATCATGGAAAAAAAATATGCGTATCGGTAAGTTTTTTTCAAATTGTGCAAAAAATAAAAAAATTCACGGTTCCGGTCACCGTAACCATTACCCTACGGCCTTTACATCCCGCAACCGCAACCGCAACCGCAACCGCAACCGCGTCACCGCCACCGTTACGGCGACCGCAACTACTTTTCAGAACCTTGCACGTAAAAGACAATCCTTCCCACCTACCTCCCCTCCGCAAAAACAGACCAGAAAAGAGAAATTATGTCCACTCTCAATTATATCTTTAATATAAAAGATGGGACAAAAAGCAGGACACTTTTGAAATTTCACAATGTATAGCACGCAAGGCTTTGTATAATTATGTTTATAATCACTTTGAGTCATGTTTTCATGTACTTGGTGCTAGATGGATTTTATTAGGGTTTAGTTATCAGGATATTTTGATAATTTAACAAATTGCAAGAGTTTCTTCTTCCCTCACAACTTTTATTCTCAGTTTAGTGCTTACAGGACCCAATAAGTGGGTGGTTTAGTAACTCTTTGGCTTTTTGAGAAAAAAACATTTGCTAAAAAAGCAAATGCATTTGGCAAACTACTAAAAAAATGTTTTGTTAGTGACTTATTTCTATAAAAGCGGCTACAAAAAAAAGTTGGGCCTTTTCTAGTTTGTCATCTAAAAATGCATTTTCCAAATTGTTTGGTTGAGTTTTCAGGTCAAGTTTGGCAATCCTAAAAAAAGTCAAAAAGTTAAAAAGTTACTTAAAAAGTTAAAAAGTTATCACTATTTAGCAAAAGTCAAAAATTACGACTGCACAACTCTTAATCCTAATTTTCCTCTACACACTAATTTATAGAATTTTTTAATGCACATTTTTTCATAAAAAGTCAAAAAATTAACCCAAACATTAATATTTTTTTCCTCAATTTTTTAGTCCAAAAAGACAAAAAGTGCACTTATTTAGGACACCCCAAACAACCCCTCAAAATCTATTTTCGGGTTATATTTTTTATAACAAAAAATGAATTTAGTTTGATAAATAAAAAAATAAAAATAAAAAACACCAAAAAATTATTTTCACCCCAAACAAGAGAAAACCTAATGAAAATGATGTGTTTTTTTCGTTTTTTTTTCTTTTCACCAAACTTTAGTTTTTACTCTTTTTTTTTTTTTTCAAACAGGATAAATTTTGAAAACTCAACCAAACAAGGTGACATAATTTTTTTTTTGGGGGGGAAAAAAAAAAAAAGTTGGTAAAAAACTGTTTGCCAAACAGGTCCCAAGTGCCCTTTTCATCCTCAAACCTACTTGATCATGCCCAAATCAACCCTAAACCCTTCCTTCACCTATAGGCCATCCATTAAACCATTAAAGCACTACAATAGTTGTCATCCAAGCCATTTCTAGTCACTATTTACGAAATCCTGTAACTTGCAACTTTAAAAATCAAGCCAAAACTCATCTTCCATCTATAAAACCTAAAAAAGCCGCCTTCTATATCATGAATCCTAATGCTAATAACTTTCAAAGAGCCATAACCCACCACAATTCACTCATGGGCAGCCTACGGCTTAGTTCCCTAATTTGTCCTAGATCAATCTACTTCAAAACAACTGGGTTATCAAGAAAGCCCAAATGACTGGCAAAGAAACTACACGAAGTATGATTTCATATTAGAGAAGGAAAAAATTTAAGAGAACTTACGTGAGAGATTTCCCCCTGAAAATTATAGGAGGCGCAACCGCAGAAAAAATGCAGAATAAGATGTGAAGCTGCATGCAGTGGCAAAAAAATAAGGCATCCTTTAGGACAAGTTAAAGTAGACATAGCAGATCCAAATTAAAATACTAAAAGCTTACTGCATAGAAAAGGAAAAACCACCCAAACTTCATAGCGCTTTCAGTCCTGTAACAAAGGTTCTGATGTTAACTAAAATCACTATACTGTCAAGTATAATAACTGATTCATGTGCAGGTTAGAACCACAAAATGCAGTTGTAAGCAAGATCCATGACATGTAAAAGCTCCAATATGGTAATAATCATTTAATAAAAGCAAAACAAAACATTATTGACAGCAATAATCTATGTTTCATGGACTCTTCCAAATTTATGAAATACCTGTGTTGGAAACTTCATACTTGGATAAGGGTATGAATATGTGTCCAATATGCCTAGTTGGACATGAACCCAACATGCATATATAAGCAGTTGAGTTTACTATATAACTGTGCATGAGATATAGATTTTATACAAAAAATTCTCTATTTTAGTTTGTATTTTATCCTTAATATAAGAGTACATGAGAAATACGAAATCTAGTTGTGTCCTAGTGTCTTTGATATGAGAATTAGATGAATCTGACCCTTAGGCCTCATTTGGGAACAGGCTAATTTAGTAACTTTTTGGCTATTTGGCTAAAATATAAGCTAAAAAAACTAATATGTTTGGGATGACTTTTTGGCTTTTTACGAAAAGAAGTGCAAAAAGTAGAGCGAAAAGAGAATCTTTGACTTTTTGGTATGGATTGTTGGATTTTTGACTTTTTTAGTAACTTTTTGACTTTTTGGCTAAACCGGCTTGTTGCCAAACAAGGCCTTAGTCACATACCCGTACTCGACACTCTAATATGAGTCCATGTATCACAAGTTATAATGATAATAATGACAATTACATCTTTGCAAGTTCTAGAATCTATTCAAGACTCTTCCTGAAACTACAAGCCATTCATGCATCCAAGTTAACTTGATTCACAACTAGATAAAAAATATATACGCATTGGTTGGGTTTCACCCCTACCCGTTTATTATGTTTGCAGCTTGGCCACTTCATGGATCTCCCTTACGGTCAAAAAGCTATGAAGCATGGACACCTCTTCGAAGGAAACGTATGGGTGTCCAACACGGATCGGACATGGACACACGTCGGACACGTGTCAGACACTCTATGGGAGGTGTCCCTCTTTTTTTTGAATTTTTTGCAGTCGGACACGTTTGGTACATGCCTGGACACATTCGGGACACGATTATGAACAAAAACCCTAGCCTGTTGATCGACAAAGAGAGAAGAAAAAAAAGGTGAAGAAAAACCTGAACATGTTGAAACTCAAGAGGGTGAAATTAAAGACCTAGATCGAGGTATGTCCTTTGCTTCGTTTTTCTTTTTCTTACATAATTTCGAAGGTCGTCTCTCTCTCTCTATTGCAGTTCGTCTCTCTCTCTCTCTCTCTCTCTCTCTCTCTCTCTCCCCCTTTTTATATATTTATTTCCTTTTCTTCTACTCTTTTTATTTATTTTTTTCTTTTTCTTCTCACGAAAGATTGAAAATACTTTTTTTTTAATAACAAAAACCGTACTCTTTTTTATTTATTTATACCTGAGACCCTCTTTTTTCCCTCTTTTTATTTTTTCTATTTTTTATTTTTTATTTTTTTTTCAATTTTATACATATAATAAATAAATAATATTATATATTGAACGTATCCCCAATGTGTCGTGTCTCCCATTTTTTGAAAATTTACATGTCCACGTATCTGTGTCCGTGTCCGTGCTTCATAGTCAAAAAGATTCAGATAGGACAAATCTGCTCAATAATGGAGTTACAAATTAAATTCATGAAGAATATAAAAGTAGTACCTCGAGGCACGATAGAGTGGGCGATACCACAACACATACGCTAGTGGAACCCCTGATACGAAGTATATAACAGCAAGAAACCAGATTTTTACATCTACAGCAAGACAAGTAAGATCATGTTTAGAACATCATATCTGTTTAATTATAGCAAAGGAAGAGCATAAGAAACAAAGGCTCATAATAGAACAAAATTCTTTTGGGACTAACCTCCCAATTTAATCCATGCTGCAGTAACAGCTACAAGATTCCATAGAAGACACACTATCAATCCTGCATCAGCATTTGTATACCATGAATGTGGGCTTGTCTTCAACAACTCATTAAAGAAGGCTTTAGATACATAAAGAGCAATAGGATCATTACAACATGCATAAGCAATCAACTTAATCTATCTTATAAATGCAATATTGTGCTCCCAGATGGCCTCATTTCTATTACTGACGTTACAATAAAGGCAATACCCTTCCCAAACCCACTCACTATATTAAGACAACAATGTTTGACGGATGGAACCACAAGAGTTGGTCCTAACGGTCATGTAACGGCTCGGCTATGAATTTTTTTGTATCCAATACTATCAAACGCTAACAGAACCCCAAGATTCTGTTCCACAATGGCTGCTTTTTAAAAACCATGAGTTCTGTAATGACTAAAGTCTTTGTATACGTGTTTGCACACCATTTGGTTAATTTTCTTTATTTATCAAAAAATTGTCTCAAACAATCATCAATGTTTCAAAGAACAAAAAGCCACAGCATCATGCTCACAAACTTAACCTATTTCTGCATATCCAATGTTTACAAGTACACAAATTTACATGCCATAATATTCCAACATCTAATAAATGAGAAAAACATTGAAGTTTCCGTAAGAACAAAAAAAGGTGACTGTTGACATACCCAAAAAAGTTGTAAATGCAACATACTGCAACCTCTGTAGATGAATTGGAATTTCATTAGCGATGTCATGATGGATGATTGGGAGAAATGGAGGCCAATTTTTGTCTTCAACAACAATACCAGCTGCAAAGCAAAAGAAGGCAAATTATAAATTTTCAGACAGAATTATAGGATTTTAAGATGCCAAGGAAATTTAATTTATTCATAGTATTTGTACATAGCATAATAATGCATTAGTTGATTTGGGTTCAAGGAGAAGTGACCATGGACCGAGGAAACATAACTCAATTTGAGCACCTTATTGAATATGCATTCACGATTCACACAAAAGCCCAATTGGTTTGGGATCGGTATAGCGGGCACCGGTCCAGTGGCCTACCCAGCCCGTATTTTTAAAGAGTTTTAAAGTGATATTGAAGTTGGGATAAAATAAAATAGAACGTTAGGTCCGATGTCGGGCCAGACCTGACTTGGACATTAGATTTCTTTGTTTTTTCTAACTTAAACCCGCCAAACTCAGACTGGATTTGTCTGGTCGATGCCCACCCCTAATTCAATGTAGATGTAAACATGAGAGGAAGAAACGCCTAATTTGTATATACTAGTGGGCAAAATTTCCAAACCAAAACCATTCAATCCTTGTGTTTTGCATTATCAATACTTTATGCAATTAAACATTTCTCAGTCTTTCTTTCTTATAAAAATTTAAGTCCAAATATTCAAATGGACAAAAAGAGATGAAAATAAAGAAGTATGAATTTATAGTTATTTATATAAATTATGTTATAAACAAACGCAATACTTAAAAATTAAATCATTGGAAATCTGAGTTGCATTCGTAATCAAAGATCTTTTGAGATTGTGGTCACCTTTGATTAGAGTTGGACCCTTCTAACTCTCTCTTGATGTTAAAAGAACAACAAACCTAATCATCTGTGTCGATTCAACTTTGTTTTCTGCCATTTTGACGTGAAAAATGATAGATATGATGTATTGAGAGGAAAAAGGTAAAATAAAGAGAGAGAAGAGAGAGAGTCGGTAACACAACCATTAGATTAAAGCAATCCTTGCCATTGTAACAAGAAAAGGAATATAAATATCTTGGTTTGGTTGTATTAGGTGGTTTCCAACAATGGGAAGCAGAGTGAAGATTTCACCCAAACCAAACCCAACAAAAATAGTACAAAAGGGAAAAAAAAAGGAAAAAAATAGATGGTTGTGAAGAAGATGGGATAATGACCATGATTAGAAAGATAAACAAGAAACAAGAAACAAGCACATAAATTAAACTGAAATGCCTGCAAATTTGTATAAAAATCCTGTCAGAAAACAATGAACTCTTCACATTTCATGTAAAACACACTGGAAAAATGTCAGAAAACAATGAACTCTTCACATTTCATGTAAAACACACTGGAAAAATTGATCCCTGTACGTGTCTAAATGCCACGAGTATTTGACCTTAATATATAACGGGCAAAGTAGGTGCAAAAAAAAAGGGGACAAAGAATCAAGAGAGAAATTCACCTCGAGCTGCCGCATCTTCTCTCCTCTTTACTTCCTGCATAGCTCAATAAAACAATGATAAGAATGGCATTTATCTAATAAGCCATGAAAGTTGCTAATATACATAAATAATTCATATAAAATGGACACTTCAACTGAATAGTTCCAAGATATATTTCTGGATGGCAACCCTTATGACACCATTGAACTTATTGGGAGATTAATGGCTTGGTCACTCTATATCACTCTAAGGCACACAACTACTTCCCCATTACAAAAATAAATATACAGGCAGTTAAATGAAAAACATATTAAGCCTCGATTGGGAACAAGCTATTTTAGTAACTTTTTGGTTTTTTACGAAAAAATGTGCAAAAAGTAGAGAAAAGAAAATCTTTGACTTTTTTGTATAGGTTGTCAACTTTTTGATTTTTTTAGTAGCTTTTTGACTTCTAGGCTAAAACAAGCACATGCCAAATGAGGCCTAAGATGAAAAAATAGACAAATTCTTGCAAAAATGATACAAGCAAATGCCAGTTAAACATCTTCATGAAAATAAAAAGAAAAGAAAGAAACGAAGAAATTTTTGGACTCATGCATATCTGATCATGGTATACCGTATTAGACAATAACTCGTGATAAACATCAGATGAGAGCTGATAATTTGACCCCCCTCAGAGTTCATAGAAATTAGAATATATGCAATTATGATCATTCTTATTAGTTTCTCATAGTCATGCATGACAGTCCTGATTGAACTTCCACTATAACATGCATGATTGACCTGTACTCAGTGGCAACAACCCCAAAACAGCATGGTGAATTCTAGTGCTAAATTATGTTACATGCACTCAGATACGAGTGTCAGGTACGAATGCATAATTAGAGATCAGGCACATCAAATCTCAAATTTAAGGATACACAGACTAGGCGAAAAATAGCAATAATTTTATATTTTTAATTTGTCATGTGAAATAAAATGGTGCTATATATAACATACAATGTCAAAAAGGTATCATATAGTAATTATATAACAATATATACATATAAGATAGCGTTAAATACAAATATATAAGAAGTGTCCGATGGTAAGTATCGGACACATATCCCACACACTCATCCTATTTGATTTATTTTGAAGAGTCCATATAAAATATGTGCTACAAATAGTAGAAAGGGTTTTAAAAAAGAGAAATTACAAATCAGTGTAGATGACCAAAACTAATTACAAACACATGGGAGGTGCAACTTTTTCTGTGCAACAAAACCACAGCCATGTAGAACAAAAAAGCAACTTTTCTGTGCAACTTTTCCCACTTCCCATTGTCTTGTAATTTCCCCTTGAAAAAATGGCAAGCCATGTAGAACAAAAAAGCGGAAAACAAAAAATGCAGCAAGGTAGGTCTACATATCTAAAGAAGTGTTCATATATTTGCAAAGTTGCGATTTCCATCAGAGTACCTGCTCCCTCTTTCTCAATTCAGACTCCTTAGCTTGCAGCTCCCTCTCTTTCTTTTTCAAATCCTAAATTAAAAATAATGATAAAAATCAATTAGAATGAAAGAATGCATATGAAGAAATAGAAATACCTAATGTATATTTAGCATCTTCATCAATTGCAAAACTTGCACCTACCGCAGCTGAATCAAGAGGAATATCAACTGGGGCACTTCGGTCATAGTTGTTGAAATCTGCAGGTTCAGGAGGAAGAGGGGAAAGCCTCGAGTTTGGATTCTGGAAATCCCAGCAAGAGATTTTAAAGAAAATGTGAGAATCCAACAAGGACACAAGCAAGTTTTAAGAAACCAAACCAGTCAGTGTTACCACATATATTAAAAGATGTGTGAACAAATGCTCATACAACATGCATAAAAAATTATAGAAGTAAGTTAATCAAGAAAACTAATCACATTGGATTAAAAACATGCATAGCTGCAGGACATTATGACAAAGATGGAACAGTGTAAAAGTATGCCACTTCAGCAACTACACAAACACATGCATAGTTTTCTGTGTAACTTCGTAAAGAAACAAAAGCGTGTGATCCTCTGCAAGTCAGGTTTCAAACCTGCCTCCTGAATTGAACTGAACTTTTTAATTTAGTATGGCTATCAAGAAAGTAGGAATTGCATTTACCAAAAAAATGTAGGAATGGCAGAGAAAGAGATGCACTCTTAAGACACAGGATCCAAATTATTTTCAATAAAAGAACCCTTCCCTAAATATCATGAGCAGGTAAACCAGGCCCAATTGTGAGTGCATAGAAAATAAAAAAATGTCAATACACACACTCGTACATGTTAAACTCATCAAAGAATAAAATGATATAACTTTTGCCTCCTGGACAGAAGGTTCATGATAGTAATAACAGGAATAGATACTGAACATAGTGTGGTCAATTATTAAAAAATGTCAATTACTCATACCAGGCCCAATTGTGAGTGCATGGAAAATAAAAAAATGTCAATACACGCACTCATACATGTTAAAGTCATCAAAGAATAAAATGATACAACTTCTGCCTCTGGACAGAAGGTTCATGATAGTGATAACAGGAATAGATACTGACTATAGTGTTGTCAATTATTAGAATATTTTGGCCAATATAAGTAATTGAGGTATTTGTTCATTCACCTAGAAATTGATGGGAAGTGAAAATAAAGACATGATTTGCTAATGCATGTCAAAAAATATAACGTCACCAGCAGCATCAAAAGATTCCGAAGCAGCAAAAAAATTGCGGCCCAACACACTTGTACCACATTTCAAGGCTATAAGCTTCATGTCCATTCACAGAAACCTTTAATAATGCAACAATTACTCCAAATAATACTGCAAGAGATCATCAAAATGAAGCAATAGTAACAAAGCCAGTTAAGGCTGTAAGCAGAAGGAAGGGGAGCTTTTTTTGGATGCTGCTTACAAGCTTCAATGTCATCAATGGTATCTTTGCTCTGGTAGAAATGATTAGATTTTCACAAGCTATCCATGTTTTGTTTGGATGAGAATCCGTTATTTATAGATTATGTAGAGGCGCTTCTACAAAGTCGTGCCTCTTACTAAATGGCAGTTAGTGACAGATCACTGGTTGTTAACAGTTACTATCAGTAATTGTAAATGACAATTACACTATTTAAAATGGAAAAAATGTAGTGTATATAACCCACACTTAGACATCAGCGTGACACCACACGATCAGGATCATATACAAGCACCACAAGCCATGTGTCCAAGTGCCAAGTGCACACTCAATTTGGGACAACATTTTCAGTTTTAAGGAAGGGATTCTATTCTTTCTTCATTACAACCTACTCATATATATATATATATATATATGCAAACCAATACATAACACATACTTCACTCTATTCCAAGGAAAACTAAATCGTGAAAGCACATAAAATAGCAAACTATTCTACACATACATGCTAGCCTCAAAAGAAAAAGCATAAGGTTCCAACAAAGAGCAACCAACAAGTAATGCACATCAAATATCTGTATTTCATCATATATATAATAATAATTATTATTATATAAAAACTCAATTTCTATGACAATTTTAAGGGAGAAAAAGAAAAAGAAAAATTAACTTACTGTTGTATAAAATGCACCTCCACCATAGTTGGATTGCCCCGCTGGCTTTACCTTTTGGTCCTGGTAGTAAAATGATATTGACAAGGGAAGTTGAATAATAGTAATTATTGATAGTAAGCTGATATTAAAAAGCTATTGAAGTATCTCCACATATATCAATCAACTTCAAGTACCAATCATAGCAACAAAAGTGTCGCAAAAAATATATTCCATATAGAATGCACGTACAAATGAATCACATTTTCATCCCGGACTACCTAGCTAGCACCGAGCACAAATATGCAACCAAATGAGTGCATCATCCAAAAGGGTTTGCTATTATTGTATTATCAGTTCAAGCAACTTGTTTGCAATTAAACCATAAAATCCTCATATGGTTGAAACAATTCCAAAATCATTTTGGACATATCATACAAAGGACTATATTTGTTTACCGGTTTGGGGAGGGAGATTGGATTGTTAACCCATGGTCCCAATCAAAACCATGTTTAGTTGAGACAATATGACATGGAGATAAGAGTTGAAAGGGTGGAATCAGCATTCCCATGTCAGGTTTGGGATCTCACATGATTAGATGGCTAAAGACCATTTTACCCTCATTTTACAAAAACAACAAAATAAATTTTATATAATAATGGTTTTTTTACATAAATTCATTAATTCAATCCCAACCAACTAATACCACAACTCTATTGCACAAACAAATAAACAATTTATCCAACAACTCCAACCTAACAGCACAAAACTAGTAATCCCCTCGCTCAACCCCCACCACACTAACAATCCCACTCCACCTAATCCAACAATAAAATTTGGAAATAACTGTGCAGTGTAATTCACTGAAAAATAAACATTATTGCTAAAGCAATCAGTTAGTATGAAACAAGCAAATGCATCAACAATAGCTATATCCCAATATTGACTGATCATATAAACACATGTACATATAAAGGGTAGGTAGAATTTCAAAATTTATGATGAGTTCATCGGTGAGACGAGAGACCAAAGTCCAGTCGACGAGATCTAAATGCTCAGACAACGAATTCACTTGAAAAGCTACAGCGATCATGTAGTCAAAACAAATTGACCAATCAAAGACTGAACAGAAAGCCCTAGAACTCTCTAAAATTCTTCACAGAGAGAGAGAGAGAGTGAGAGAGAGAGAGAGAGCTTACAGCAAAGGGATTAACTTCATCTTCGTCGAAGGGGTTGCGATCGAAACGGCCGGCCATGAGTGAGGTTGAGTTGCACAGAGAGAGAGAGAGAGAGATCTGAAATGTGGAAGAGGGTTGAGAAAAGCTTAGAGAAGAAGGAAATTCAAAACAGGAAAAGAAAAAGAAGATTTGTTCGAGAGAGGTTTGTTTGGTCAGGTGATGAGCTTTGGAATAGACGACTTTTGTTTCTTTGGTAACTTCTCTCTCTCCTAATTAAAATTGTAAAAAATAAAATAAAATAAAGTAAGGCTTAGTTTGGGAAGACTAAATAAGTGCACTTTTTAACTTTTTATGAAATATGGGTTGGGTTTGAAGTGATGTGTTAGAGAGGTGATGTGACTTAAATAAAATAATATGACTTAAATAGGATAGTAATTTTTTAACTTTTTATCTTTTTTCAATTATGCCAAAGTTTGCCTAAGAAATTGGGAGGAAACAAACAGGACAGCAGAGGTAGGACTGGCATTCGGTTTGACCTTCGATAAAATTTATAAAAATTAAAATAATTTATTTTTATTTCTTTTCATAATAATATATTAACAGTTCACGCACATAACACGTATGTAAATTAAATAAATAAGAATAAAATAACATATTTAATATATATTGGCCTAACCTCATTTGGTAAAAGTTTTTCTTGTTAAATTTGTGATCTTAAATTAAGGAGTTGTTTGGAATGTTTTAAAGAATTGTACTTTTTAACTTTTTATAAAATATGAGTTGGATTTGAAGTGATGTGGTAGAGAGGTGATGTGACTTAAATAAGATAGTAACTTTTTAATTTTTTTAAGACACTCCAAACAGGGCCTAAGTCTCGTCCCATTTTGTTATTTAACTTTTGTTTTTTTAATACAGATAATTGGACACTTGATATAAAGAGAGACAAAGTTTCAAGCCACCAATATAGGTGCTCACATATATAATAACTAGCCGTTGGTACACCTATCCGTATGTGAGAGGGTAAATTTTGGTGAAAATTGGGCCGAGCTGTGAGATGGACTTTGTGACCCAAAGTACGAAAGATTGTGTAAAAAAGGCCGAAAAGTTACTCCGGCCCAGGAGAGATAAAGTTACTCCGGTTCAAGAGTGATAAAGTTACTCCGGCCCAGAAGCAACTTGGAGTTAGGCCGGTCTCAGAAATAGTCCGGTCATGATGTATTCTGGGTAGGTCGGTTGGAATGTTGCTATTCAGTAGATCGGTCCAAACACACCATGGTTCGTGTATGAGAGAACCGAGATATGACGCAGCAAGAGGAAGAACCGAACTACTGTTAGTACGGCCTACTCTGTGGCTCAGTATAGCCAGGTTTATCTCGGTCGTATGACAGTTCGGCCGTGGTGAAAACCATCCCACTTGGTTTAAGCAGTGGGGGGGTGTAAAATGATAAGCATTATTCTTTAGGAGTATGAATCCTAAGAGGATTCTGCATGGAGAAATAAAAGTCCTACAAGGATTGTGCCACTCGAAACCTATAAAAGCTCACAAGCATCACCTTAGAGGAGGTAACATAATACAACATACAATTTTTCTTCCTGAACACATTGAGCTTTGTCTATTTGTCAAGTTTTTTGACTTAGGCATCGGAGAGGTTTCCGGCACACACCCGCCGGCTAGCTCACGTTTGTGTTTTCAGGTGACAAAGCGACGTCGTACGGAGGAGCGTGGACTTACTCAACAGGATTATACGAGGAGAATTATTTCTTCCCCGTACAATTGGCGCCGTCTGTGGGAAGAACAGACAGAACGAAACCTCTTGACTAAGCTTCTCCTTTTCTCATTCAATGGCACACATTGAAGAATTGCCGCAGTCCGCCGTCGACGGACTAACTCCAGAAGGGGGCGCAAGGTGTGAAGGATTACCTTCTGTCCCTCCCATGGCGGACTTGGAGCCCCAACGACATACCTCCAGGAGGGATGCTAGGGGAAGGCGGAATAACAGCCCCCATCGCTCTCATTCACAAAGTCCAGACAGACAAAGATGGAGGATTGACCCTCAAGCTCTGGAAGACCGCGTGAAAGAACAAGATGAATTGATAAGAAAGATGGCGGCGGACATGGAGGCCTTGAAACGCCAGATGAAGAAAAAAGAAGTGGCGACAGGAGAGAGGCGCAAAAACAAGACGCCCCCTCGCCACTCAGAAAATCGTAGTAGGAATACTACACCCTCGCAAGGAGAGAGCAGAAGCCTCAGGACAGGCGACACTCAATCCTGGTCTTCCAGAACTCGTCACTCCAGGTTTGAGAGGACGAGATCTGAAAGGTCATACACTGAAGGAAGCACATATTGGCCCTCACATTCGCACTAAACCAGGTCTAAACAGATGGAATTACCCAGATCATCCGAATTACGAACCGTGCTCGAAGAGAAAGCACGATGCAAGGAGGATGCCAGGGCAAGGGATCCACATAGAGTTTCAGCCTTGCAGTAGTTGGCTCCTCGGACGCATAGAAGCGTCGAGGTGGGAATGCCAATACCGCGCCCTGCCTATGAACCGACGGACAAGGCATTAGCAAGACTGCAGACTTCACCGTTTGTTCCAGCGATCGAAAACGCGCCCCTACCATCAGGCTTCCTTCAGCCGAAATTCACCACATATGAAGGGAAGACGGACCCGTACTCACACTTGAGCCACTTTCGCCAAGTCATGGCTGTATACAGGCGAAACGAGGCCTTGATGTGCATACTCTTCCCATCAAGTCTTGGCGACCTAGGCTTGACTTGGTTCGAGAAACTTCCTGAGGGCAGTATAGCCTCTTGGGCGCAATTAGCAGAAGCGTTCGTAACAAGGTTCCGAACGAACACTAAAATTCCGGTGGAGATCGACCAGCTTCTCTCCATCGACATGGGCGAAAAAGAGACCCTCAGATCTTACAACAGTCGCTACTGGGAGACATTCAATCAGATAGGGGACTACCCCACCAATTTCGCCATTGCACAATATAAAAGAGGCCTTCCAGTTGGGAACAGACTGAGGGACTCGATTACCATGACGCCACCCCTCACTATGGAAGCCCTGATGGAAAGAGTGCATCAGCACATCAGGGTAGAAGAGGATGGCGCACGTGCCAAAGCAAAATCTAGTGCGACCGCAGTACCGGAAAAGAAGACCTCAGAAAGGTCAATACAGTAGATCGTCAAAGCAAAAACGGGCATGGCAGACGAGATAACGGAGAAGACCCAGATAAAAGATGGTTGAGAATCCGCACTGCCATAACCACGGTGTTCAAGAAACCGATATATCGGATTCTTAGCGAAATAAGAGATGAGCCTTTCGTCAAGTGGCCAGCCAAGCTAGGAGAAGCCCAGAAGAACTATGACGAAAAATCGCGGTGCACCTTCCACAAAGAAAAGGGACACCGCACGGAGAATTGCACGCCATTGAGGCAACACTTGGAAGAGTTAGTGGCAGCAGGCCACTTGGACAAATATATTGAAGGAGGGACGCAACCAGCCCCCCAAGATCACAATAACCCCAACGGAATGCCAATCGACGCCCCACCTCAAGGCATTATCAATGTAATACATGGAGTCTTTGAACCTGAGCGTGTATGCGAGCTCAGAGGATCAATCAAGAAGGCTGAGCACTTTAGAGAAGTGTTAAGTGCACAACCTGCCATCAAGAAGGGGAAGACAGAGGCAACAAATGTTATGTCTTTTTCGGATAAAGACTTGGATCGAATATACTGTCCTCACAATGATGCCCTAGTCGTCACTCTCCGAGTCAAGGATTTTGGCGTCAAGCGGATTCTGATTGACTAGGGTAGTTCATGTGAAATCATGTACTACGACACATTTAAACAACTGAAGCTACAAGACAAAGACTTGGCGCCTGCAGTCTCTCCCCTAATTGGATTCAACTCCATGTCAGAGTGGCCCGTCGGCAAAATAATTCTTCCAGTCAGAGCAGGAAGCGTAACAAAACAAGTGGATTTCTGGGTATTAAAGGTCCCCTCCACTTACAACATCATCTTGGGCAGAACATAGCTGCACGCCATGCGTTTGGTAGCGTCATCCTACCATCAGGTAATGCGGTTCCCCAACGACACCGGTATAATTGAAGAAGTATATGGAGATCAGATCATGTCAAAACAATGTTTCGCCCCGGTAAATGGCAGCCGCGCTGCCAAAGGATACGTTCATTCGGTGGAGGAACCTGAAAGTAATGAACTATTCGCGAACGTCGGTAAAGAGGCTGATCAGAAAGCGGTGGAGGACTTGGTGGAGGTAAAAATAGATGAGAAGAACCCGGATAAGTTCTTCTTGCTTGGCTCATCGTTGTCCAGCACTGAGAGATTAGAGGTCTTGGAATTCTTGACCTCTAACATCGAAGTGTTTGCCTGGACGCCCTACGACATGCCAGGCATTGATCCAAACTTCATCAGTCACCAACTCAATGTCCACCCATCCGCCAAACCAGTCTATTCAACGCAAAGCAGAGATCGGCACTCCACCACGCCGAAATAAGTGGCAGAAGAGTAGGCAACCTGCTGGAGGCAGTGAGCAATTTAGAGAAGTGCACTACCCAAGATGGATCTCCAACACAGTCGTAGTACCAAAGAAAAATGGCAAATGGCGAGTCTGTGTCGACTACAAAACAGTCAACAAGGCATGCCCAAAAAGACAGCTTTTCTCTACCCTGGATAGATCAACTAGTGGACCTGACGGCAGGGCACAACCGACTTAGCTTTCTGGATGCATACAGAGGCTATCACCAAATCGCCGATGCATGAACCAGACCAGGAGGTCCACATCTTTCAACTCCAAGAGACTATACTGTTAACAGGTCATGCCCTTTGGCCTGAAGAACGCAGGGGCGACATTCCAACGGATGGTCACCCAGATGTTTGAACCATTGTTAGGCAGAACAATGGAGGCTTACATCGACGACCATGGTGGTCAAAGCAAGGATGAGAATGACCATCTCAAGGACTTAGGAGAGGATGTTTTGAAGTCTTGAAGAAGCACAAGTTACGCCTCAATGCATCCAAGTGCGCATTCGGAGTAGGATCTGGCAAATTCTTGGGCTTCCTTTGTGACCAACCGGGGTATAGAAGCAGACCCCTCCCAGATCAAAGCAATCCAGGAGTTGGAGAGACCAAACTCAGTCAAAGAGTGCAGCATCTTACCGGCATGGCGGCTGCGCTCAATCGGTTCATAAGCAGGTCGTCAGACAGA